TACGATATATAATTAGAAAAATTACTCAATTAGAAAAATTACTCAATTTAAATCTCTCTCTAAATAACTCAGATGATAGGGATGCCTGATGTCTCAGTGGTTGAGCGTTTGCCTTCAGCTCAAGGTGAGGTCCCAGGTCCTGGGATCAAGTCCCACATCGGGCTTCCGGCAGGGAGCTTGCTTCTCCCTCTGCCTATGTCTCTGCCTCTCTCTCTGTGTGTCTCATGAATGAATGAATGAATGAATGAATGAATAAATAAATAAATAAATAAATAAAAGCTTTTTAAAAAAACAACTCAGATAATAGAATTATAAATAAGAACAATAAAATAGTTATTTATATTCCATATGTTCAAAAAACTGGAAGACTAGCAGGTTAAGTAGAGACATGAAATATATAAATAAGAACAAAAGATCAAAGTTGAACTTCTAGAGATAAAAACATAGTCTTATATAAAAAATATACTGAACAAGATCAGACAGATCTTGTGGCAGATTAGACATTGCAGAAGACGATTAATGATTGAAGACAAAGCAATATAAACCATCTATAGATAAACACAGAACAACAACAACAAAACTGGATAAAAAAACAGCAAGAAGCTGTGGCAAGTAGCCTAATATTTGCTTCAAAATATGTCCTCAGAAAAAGATGAGGGGACATAATATTTCAACACATTATGGCCAAATATGTTCCCAATTTTATGAAAACTACAAACTCTCAAATCCAAAACAAATTCCAACTAAAGACACATTTAGAAAATTAGTTCAAGGCATACTATAATCAAATTGCTTGAAACTAGGGATAAAAGGAAAATCCTAAAAATAGTTTAAACTCACATACTAAACATAAAAGAATAAAAGGATAGCAGACTTCTCAAAAACAGTGAAACCAGGCAACAGTGCAATGACATCATTCAAGTACTAAAGGGAAAAAAAGCTCTCAACTGAAAACTCTATAGCCAGTAAAAACCAAAGTGAAACAAAGACTTCGTCAGACATACAAAAGCCAAAATATCCATTTCCAGTTTACCTGAACTATAATGTTACAGAAGTACTTTAAGCAGATGGAGAAATAACAAGGATATCAAATGGAAAACAAGTGAAAAGGTAACCACACGGGTAAATATAAAAAGGGTTTTATTGAAGGGCTCCTACATGGCATAGTCAGTTAAGCGACCCACTCTTGGTTTTGGCTCAGGTCATGATCTCAGGGTCATGAGATCGAGGCCCACATCAGGTTTCCCGCTCAATGCAAAGTCTGCTTGAGATTCTTTCTCCCTTTCCCACTCATGCTCTCTCTCTAAAATAAAGAAATCTTTAATAAAAAATAAAAATAAATAAAAGACTTTTGTTTAATTATTGAACCTCTTTAAAACACAACTGAAATAAAAAGAATCCAAATCATAAAGGGAGATATATCTCTATTCACAGATGGCATAATTATATATAAAAATAATAAGAAATTCACCAAGAACTATTAGATTCAAACTAAAAAGTGAATTTAGACATTGTAGGATACAAAACCAGTAGATAAAATCAACTATATTTCCATACACTAGCAACAAATAACCCAAAGATAAAGAAAACAATTCCATTAATAATGGCATCAAAAATATAAAATACTTAATCTTTAGAAATAAACTGAACAAAAAGAACACAAGATATGTACACTTAAAACTATAAAACACTGCTGAAAGAAATTAAAGAAGAATACATAATGAAAAGCTATCTCATACACCATATTCAAGGACTGGAAAAATTGGTACTATGTAGAGTACTCTCCAAATTTATCTAAATATTTGCTGCAATTGCTATCAAAATTCAGTCTGACCTTTGAGAAGAAATCGCTAAGGTGATTCTACAATCTCTTAGAAAATTGAAAGGATGTAGAATAGCCAAAATCTTTAAAAGGAAAACCAAAGTTGGGGATCCCTGGGTGGCTCAGCAGTTTAGCGCCTGCCTTCCGGCCCAGGGCATGATCCTGGAGTCCCGGGATCAAGTCTCAGGATCAAGTCCCACATCGGGCTCCCTGCTTGGAGCCTGCTTCTCCCTCTGCCTGTGTCTCTGCCTCTCTTTCTCTCTCTGTCTCTCCTGAATAAATAAATAAAATTTTAAAAAAAAAAAAAAGAAAAAGAAAACCAAAGTGGAGGACTTACATTTCCTGATTTCAAAACATAATCCCAAACAGTAATTAGCTTGGTATTGGCATAAAAATAGAAATGTTAATCAATGGAATAGAATTGAGAGTCTACAAATAAACACTTACATTTACACATTTACGTGGTTAAGGGATTTTCAACAAGGGTGCCAGAGCAATCAAAGGGAAAAGAATAACCTTAACAAATGATGCTGGGACAAGTGGATATCCAAATGCAACAGAACAAATTGAGCTACATACAAAAATTAAATCAAGATGTATCAAAGACTAAATGTAATACCTAAAACTATAAAACTCATAGAAGAAAATATTGGTGTAAATGTTTAAGAACTCGGATTAGGCAATGAGTTTTTAGATATGACAACAAAGCACAGACAACAACTGAAAAAAAATTGATAAACTGGACCTCGAAATTAAAACTTTCATGCTTCAAAGGACACCAATAAGAAAGTGAAAGACAATGCACAGAACAGGAGAAACTATTTGCAGATCATATATCTTATAAAGGATTTGACAATGGAATGTATAAAGAACTCTTAACTTCTGTAAAAAGACAACCAATTGAAAAGGATCTGAATGGACATAGCTCTAAAGAACATTATATATAAATGGCCAAGAAGCACATGAAGAAATGATTATTATAAGTCATTAGGAAAATACAAATCAAAACCACAATGAGATACCCCAATTCATACTCTCTAAGATGGCTATAATAAAAAAGATAGCTATAAAGTGTTGGTGAAAATGTGGAGAAACTGGAATCCTCATTCATATATTGCTGATAATATATAAACTGGTATGGCCATTTTGGCAGTCCATCAGAAGGTTAAACAGAATTACTATATGACCCAGCAATTTTACTTCTAGGCAAACAACCAGGAGAATTGAAAATATATATCCACACAAAAACTTGTATGTGAATGTTCATAGCAACATTATTCATATAGCCAAAAAAACCTAACAACCCAAAAGTCCTTCAACTGGTGAACAGATAAATATATACATTCAGCCATAAAAAGTAATGAAGTAATAATAAAGGGTACAACATAAATAACTTTGAAATCGTTATGTTAAATGAAAGAAGACAGCCACAAAAGGCCACATATTATAGGATTCCATTTACATGAAATGTCCAGAAGAGACCAATCTATAAAGACTGAAGTAAATTAGTGGTTGCTAGGAGCCAAGATGAATAGAAAATGGGAAGTGACTGCTAATGCATATGGAGTTACTTTCTGGGGTGATGAGAATGTTCTGGAATTACACTGTGGTGATGGATCCACAATTCTGTGAATACATAAAAAAAAATAATGAATTGTACATTTTAAGATGGTAAATTTTATGATATGTCAATTACAGGTAAATCTGGGGGAAAAAAGGAGTTACTATTAAAGCAAAAGTAACAACAATGTATTGGGGGTTTACTTACAGAAGTAAAATATAGGACAATATCACAAAAGTCAAGACACAGACTATTAGGGGAACTGGGGTGGCTCAGTGGTTGAGCATCTGCCTTTGGCTCAGGTCATTATCCTGGGGTCCTGGGATGGAGCCCTGCATCAGGCTCTCCACATGGAGCCTGCTTTTCTCTCTGCCTACATCCCTGTCTATCCCTCATGAATTAATAAATAAAATATTTTTTAAAAAAGACACAGACTGTTGAAAGGTCCTCAAAATTATAGGCAAAGTGGAAAATAACTTAAAATAGGCTATGTTAAGTTAAAGATATATATTATAATTCCCAAAGTTAGTGAAATAGCCCAACAAAGAATTATAGTTAACAAGCCAACAGATTCATAAAAAATATGATGGACTTAATCCAAAAGAAGGCTATTGCCCAATATAAAATACACCTTTTATGAGAAAACATTTTCAATTTTGATAAGATCTTGCAAATTCAAGTACTATTCATATCCCAGTATAAAGTGGGTACAATGGGGATACAAGTAACAAACTAGGCCTTTTGGGCAAATCACAGTTAAATCCCATAAACTACTAAACATAATACTCACTAACAAACTAAATACTGGAAATGTCATCAAGAACATGAACCAGGGATTGAAAAGCATTTTCTAGAAAGGGGTTCAATAGTAAATATTTTGGCTTTGTGGGCCAATAGCACTATGGTAGCAACTCTACCATTAGAATACAAAAGCAGCAATATTATTAAAAGAATAAGCGTGACTGTGTTCCAATAAAATTTTATTCACAAAACAGGCAGCCAGCAAATTGGGCCTATAGGTCATAGATTGCCAAACCCTGATTTAACCTTAACAAAAAGTAAAGTAAAACAAACCTATCAGATAAAGCACATGTAGCAAAGGAATGCACAGATACTAATACAAAGGCAAATAAGAAGAGGAAATTGATGACTGGGCTATAAAGAGTCTTTATGATACTTTTAAAGTGAAGGAAATAATAATAATAATAATGCAGAGAAATTTTAACGAAGTTTCTTTCTTATATATAAAGGTTTATCCATCATCATCTAACAAATTCACAAGAACAAAAATCATAAAGCACACTTAATAAAAGAAAAAATAGTTGTCAATTTGATTTACTAAATTCACATAGATCAGGATGTAGGTCTTTTGAGACATACTAAGAAAATAATTTTTTTTAACTAAGGTTTAAGGCAAGCCTAGACATTTTAGAACAAAACCTCAAGTATCCTAGAATCTTCTGTACCTTTTAAGATTGCTTGTAGATTATCTAACATTCTTTCTTCTACCCTTACCTATGGGTAACTGGTCAGCACAGACAAATCACTTATTAGTCAGCATTTATAAAGACTGGAGAATAATGACAAAAAAAAAAGGGGGGGGGGGGAATTACTGACCTGGTCATTTACTGAATCTCCTGCACCTTTTAAAGACTCCATGGAGACTGAAGCAGCAGTAACCCTGGAAGTCTTAAGTTTAACATCAGCTTTTGGACTTAACTTGTGTCTTGATTTCGTACTTTCTTCTGTAGAAATTCCTAAGGATTAACATCAAACAAAATATCAAAATTATACTTCATTCTCTTAAACTCACCCACATGAAGCTCTTCCCTGACATCCTTCTATATGCGATCTGATGGGGAAAACTTACTTTAAAAACTTCATTTTAAACCTCTTAGTAAATAATGAATCATGAGAAGTTTATGTTTTGAATACATTTAAGATTCAATTGAAATATTTTCAAAAGGTGATGTGAAAATTTATTAGTCACATTAAAAACAATAAATTACAACATACAATACATACCTTAATGTAAAGGAAATTAAAAATCTGATTTTTAATTTAATTAGGGTACCTTCAGTGGCTCAGTTTTACTATTCATTAATAACCAGTAAGCTTAAAAAAAAAAAAAAATAACCAGTAAGCTTTAAAGAGTCTATCACATAAACCTTATATCAAGAAGTTTCCACATTTTTCTTTGAAATACAAATTCAGGCTATTATTCATAATACAAAAAATAAGAATCTCTTGCTTTTTAAGAGATGAATATTCTATAATTCATCAAAAGTTCACTTGCCTGACCAGCCCCTAAAATAAGGCAAACCTCAGTAAGGTATAACCACATCTTTTTTTTAAATTAGTTTCCAATGGTTTGTTCTGCATCTAATTATACCTGCAAAGTGGTCCTACTGTTTTCTTTTCTCCTGACACTTAAGAGGCAGAGGAAGCTTACCAAATTTATACTGAAAATCATACCTGGAATATAAACTATTGATTGTTCTTCATCAGAAACTATGAAGAAGGACATGAAGGAAAATACTAGAAAAGATCATCCAATATCCAAACGCTGCCTCTATTCTGTACTTCTGTTATAATTCCTAATTTCTTTCGACCTGGGAATGTATAACAAACTTTTAAAAACAAAACTAGAAAAGAATACACGTGAAATAAATGTAGCAAAATTAATAATCTTTTAAAGTTCATCTTTACATATTCACAATTATATGTTTTGTAAAATTTTTGGAAGCCCTATTCCATAAAATTTTTATCCATGCTTATCACAAGTGAGATACCCTACCCTACAAATTCTGTTAAGTTCCTTTCATTTCCTTTCCTTTCATAGACAAGGATTTAAATGCTCGAGTTTATTATTGGAGAACCAACAAGTTTTTTATGTATGAATAAAAAATTTCAAAATGAGCTTTGGCTTTGAAGAACACTGAGGGCAAGTCAATCATGCAAACACAAAGGTTTTATTCTTCTGCTATGCATTTGTGAAATGTCCCAAGAAACCCTATTAAACAAGTGGAAGAAATTTAACTTTTTTTTTGGGGGGGGGGGCGGGTAGGGAGAGAGAATCTTAAGCATGCTCCATGCCCAGCGTGGAGCCCAAAGTGTGGTTTGATCTCACAACCCTGAGATTAGGATTTGAGCCAAAATCAAGAATCCAACAATTAACAGGTTGAGGCACTCAGGTGCCCCAAAGGTGGAGAAATTTAAGACAAAAAGAACTATTTTGAATTTCAAAAGAAATTTAGAAAGGCTAAGATCATACTACTGCTATAGAAGAAGAACCAATATAATAAAAAAAGCTTTCTTTTCAGAAGCAAAATTTTGTTCACAAGTCTATCTAATAAATTGGGGCACCTGGGTGGCTCATTTGATTAAGCATCTGCCTTTGGCTCAAGTCATGAACCCAGGGTCCTGGGATCGAGCCCCACATTGGCCTCCTTGCTTAATGGAGAGTCTGCTTCTGCTTCTGCCTCTGCCCCTGCCCCTCCCTTCCCCTCATGCTCTCTCTCTGGCTCTTGCTTTCAAATAAATGAATGAATGAATGAATAAATAAATATTTTTCTTAAAAAAAAAAAGAATTCTAAATCCAGATATGTCCACAATTTGATAACCTTCTATTAGACATTTAGGGAGTGTCTAAACATTTTTTTTCCAAATGACTTAGAAAATTCCAGTTTTCTGTTCTTTTATAAAATGCTTTCTTTTCCAAGATTTCTAGACAAATTAATTATTTAAAACTTCCTTATAAAACAGTAGATTTAATAACATATTCAAAAAGTCAATATATTTCAGTTCAGGACCAACCCCAGCTATAGAATTTTTTCAAGGAGTGCTGATTATAAATGCTTCGAATCTCTATAAGAATTTAAGGAATACAAAGATGGTGCTACTGTCTGAGCTGCCAGATGATTTCTAATAGTTCTGTGCAGCAACACACATACTATCACAGATTCAAGATTTTGGCTAATAACTAGTATCCCTAAACTTTAAATTTCCTCAGACATTAGGCATGGAGCTGAGATAATTTTAAGGGGCACATAAGACAAGAAACAAAAATTAGACCCCACTAGTCCAAGGAAAGTGATAGTAGGTAACATTAGAGCAGAGAGAGAATTTATAAATTTGCTGGCACCCAATCTAAAAAAAAAGCTTTATAAAATGAAATTGGGCAGGCTCTTCAACAGCAAACACCAAGTCATTTTCTTTTAATATCCCTTGGGACTACCAGACACAGGTGCTCAATTAATATTTAATTATTTGCAGTTGGAGATATACACATGGGAAAAGGTACCCAAGGGAAAAAAACTCATGCTGATTCAAGACAAGCTCCATTTGGCACTGTCTTCAATTAGAAGATACATTAGTGATGAAGTTACAGAATATTCTCCAAAGTTGACCTAAGGAAAGGCCAACTTAGTTGAATTCTGGGAAATATACTACACTTCCCTACAATATTCACAAAGAAGACTTGACTGCTCCCAGCTGAAACAGAGCAGCCGCTGAGGACGCAACTCAGCTGCACCTTCATTTGGAAGCTCATCAAGAATTTTACTTTTTTAAAGATTTATTTATTTGAGGGGTAGGGGTTAGGGCAGAGACACTCCAAGCAGGCTTCACACTGAGCGCAGAGCCCAATGTGGGGCTCAATCTCAAGACCCTGAGAACACAACCTGAGCTGAAACCAAGAGTCAGATGCTTAACCAACTGCACCACCCAGGTGCCCCAAGAAGCTCATCAAGTACTCCATACTTTCTCCTCTCAAACCTGATACAACTTCCCACATCCTTACTCTTGAGCTAGTAACTTTGCTTCTTATTTAGGAAAAACAAACTGTAGAGACCTTTCATAAGCTTTATTTGCAGATTACATAATATTACATATAGAAAATCCTAAAGACTCTACCTAAAAACCATTAGAATAAATGAATTCAGCAAAGCTTCAGGATACAAAATCAATATACAAAAATCTGTTGTGTTTCTGTACATGAATAACAAAAGAGAAATTAAGAAAATCCCATTTATCACTGCATCAAAAAAGAATACCTAAGAATAAACTAAACCAACGAGATGAAAGACCTATACATTAAAAACTGTAAGATATTGATAAAAGAAACTGAAGTCACAAATAGAAAGATATTCCATGCTTATAACTTGAAATAATATTGTTAATATGTCTGTACTGCTCAAAGTAATCTACAGAGTCAGTGTAACATTTATCAAAATTCCAATGCAATTTTTTACAAAAATAGATAGAAAATCCTAATATTTGTATGGAACCACAAAAGGCCCCAAACAGCCAAAGCAATCTTGAGAAAAAAGAATCAGAGACATCACGCTTTGAAATGTAATATAGTTTGAAATGTCAAACTATATTACAAAGCTACAGTAATCAAAACAGCATGGTATTGGCATAAAATCAGACCCAAAGACCCCCATGACAGCTACCTTTTTTCTGCTTTTTCTTCATACCACTGATATTCATTGGATGTACAACATATTTTACTTATTTGTGGCTTCATTTTATCTTACAAAAATGTAAGCACTAAATGGATGAGGATTTTCCTCTGTTTCCACCCCCCCTCTGGTTTTGTTCAGTGTTCCTTACCACCTAATGTCAAAAAATGCCCAGCTCATAGTAAATCATCTATGAAAGAATGAAAGTGATATTTATTTCTATGAGGCACTGTCCAACAACTCTTTGGTGTTGTCTCTCTTTATCTTGTTGAGGCTCAGAACCCATCACCCCAAGATGTGTCACTTTGAAATGTGGGTTATTTTGAGTTGAAAACAATCGAGACCCAAAAGACTCAAGAAGAAACTTTGACCTTCCCACAAATGGCCTAAAAGAATTTTTTTTTTAAATTTTTTATTTATGATAGTCACAGAGAGAGAGAGAGAGAGAGGCAGAGACACAGGCAGAGGGAGAAGCAGGCTCCATGCACCGGGAGCCCGACATGGGACTCGATCCCGGATCTCCAGGATCACGCCCCGGGCCAAAGGCAGGCGCCAAACCGTTGCGCCACCCAGGGATCCCCTAAAAGAATTTAGATAGAGGACCTGCTCCCAGAAGGAAGATATCACAGTAAATAACTACAGTATACAGTATAAGTAAGGGGTGGTAGACAGGGATGAATTTAGCAAATTCTGTTAAAATTCCTCTCTATGTCCCATTGTTTCTATATGGCCCAGAAAACTTTAACTTTTTTTTAATCATTTACTCCTTTCATTTTCCTGTGAATTGCTTTCTTTTCCTTCAAAGTCCCAGACCCCTACTCCCTTCTCAGTTAGCAATGACAAGCATACCTCACTTTGCTTGTCTTTGGAATCTCTCAGATATATGTGGATTCCCCATATGTACCTAATTAAGTTTGATTTTTCTCCTCTTAATGTCTCACGTCATTTTAATTCTTAGACCAGCCAGAAGTCCCTTGAAGGGTAAAGGAAAATTTCAAAATATGAGGGCAAGATCCATTAGCTACATCCATGCTAGGTATCTTTTCAAATATAAAAATGCTAAATAAATTGACCTTAACAAGGGTTTAAAAAATAAGCCTAAAAATATTTGAAATTGCCTCCATCCAACCTATCCTTTCTAATCATTTGTAATCTATCATCTCATCTGAAGAACCCAAATATTTACTTTCTTCAAATACAAAGTCCAAAAAATATACAAGCCTATTTTATGGGAAAGTCAAAGAGACACAATATATACCAAATGTATACTGAACCTCTCATTGGGTTCTATGTGCCACCTCGGTTCTACTTCGGGATCTTTGGAAGTTCTTTAGAAGACAAGTACAGCAAATTATAAAGCATCCTTAATGCTGGTACCAAACTCCGAATCCCCAGAATTAAAGCAGTAATTAGAAACCCAAGGTAGAGGTAATAGGAAGCAGCATCTATCCCAGACCACCAAAAGCTGAAGAAAATAAACTTGGTACTGCACACTCTAACCTTCTGAGGTTTTTGTTTTTTTTTTTTTTTTAAAGATTTTATTTGACAGGAAGCAAGACGGCACACGTGTGTGCACCCACGAGTGAGGGGACGGGCAGAGGGCAAGAACAAGAAGCAGACTCCCCACTGAGCATGGGGAGAGCAGGACTGGGGGTTCCATCCTAGGACCCTGAGATTATGACCTGAGCAGAAGGCAGATGCTTAACTGATTGAACCACCCAGGCACCCCTAACCTTTTGAGGTTTGATTATTTACCAGCAACACATATATATGTAATTACTGATCCCAGTGACATTCCTGACTAGTGTATTATTTTAACATCAACATAAAGATTCTATTTTGAATTGAATATCCAATTACATGGATTATAGCTAATTCAATGTTTTGACCAAGTCCTTTACAATTCATATTTGTTGATATCAAGTTAAAAATACTGTTAATGATAATACACTGGAGTGCATTTACCCAATCAAATATAGATACTGCAGAAATACTAATTTCTTTTGATATTACCGGGAGCTATAATAAAGGAGGAAAGCAGTTCATGGCTGAAGGGGCTTATTTTACTTGCAGATTTAACCCATAAAATGACAACATGGCATATTCATTGTTTATACATAAGGTATAAAAACATACCTTGTGCAAAACAGCACTGTTGAATCATACTGTGCAGGAGATGCATAACTCATAAGGACAACAGTAAAAAAGATGACATTCAGTCACAGATGATCTGTCCTCACATGACAGAAACATCTAGGACTGGAAAATATCTCAATCACATTTCTCTAATTGTTTAGGCAAAGCACTGAATATCTATCTTTCAATTACTGTGAGAGGTATATCTGATTATACACACATACTTTTTGGTCTTTTCCTATTGAAAGTTCTATACAAAGGCTAAGGGGTGATCTAGGAATTTGTCCATATAACAGAAAAAGAGATGAAGATCCAAAGACACATGATTAAACTAAATGAGTCATAACTATCCTTATGCTTTTTAGCAAAGATTCAGTAGTAAATTTACATTGGACAATTGCTTTTGTGTCCTACTGACATATCTGAGGCTGGATGGTAATTGGTCATTTTTCAGAATAGGTGAGGGATCCAGGTAATACTAGTAACCTTGCAAGTCACTTCACACATCAGGATTTCTATCAATGTAATTACTACCATTTTGCCCATATAATTTCAACTCCTCACTTACTATGGAAAGATGAGTATTTCACATTAATTTTCAAGGTTAGAGAGAATGTAAGAAAAAAGGAGAGGATGCAGGACTTCTACGTGAAATAAGGAGGAATATAAGTATATGATAAGTGAACATACAGTGCTGCTTTGACCAAGAGCACAGTGCTCAGTTCATTTACCTACTAACTTAATCAGTACCACAGCCATACACTGCCCCCCCAACACCATTTATACCTATCAGAACAATTCCATTGGTCATTGATTAAGGTAAGGAATGATAACCAAAACCACATAGGTGGCTATGAAAATGATTACACTAAAAAAGCACTTTATTTGAAGCTGATAACCTTCAAATATCTCCACCATCACAAAATTCTACCATTGCAAGCACAGCGTTTCCTGAGAAGACTCATCCCAGTTTCCTGACTTCCTAATTCAGCCCAGTTCCCAATGTACATTTTCTCTGTGTCCTTCCTGATGCGTAAGGAGAAAAAAAAAAAAAAAATTAATGTGCACGGTGCGCTGGTGCATTTTACTTGATTGTCACCCACCTATCAGAGACAAATGGTAATTATGTTTAGAAAGGGCCTAACCCTAAACATTGAGCAGCAAGGATTGCAAAAAATATCCCTCCCTCCACATGACACCGCCATCCTAGTATTGTCACTCAATAAGGAAAACTATTGATAACACAATTTTGTGAGTTTCACGGGGAGCTAAGTAGAAAGAGCAGAGGACGATTCTGCCCAAGTTAACAGCCATGCCTCACACACTGCTATCATGGATCCCAGCAAACAGACACAGAGATTTGCCTCTCTGCAGGCACCCAGTACACGGGCTGTCCTTTCAGGTCACACCTTTTTAAGCGACGTAACTGGCCAAGACCCAACCATCAGGCTGGGCCAGTCTACCTAAACCAGAGAACGAACGAGTTCTGTCACACACCTCATCCCAGTTCTTGAACCGGGTACACCACCCCAACAGCTTCTAGACACACACACACCCTCAAAACAACCCAAGAACTCCAATCCTGCCAGCGGTGACTCACGATCCGCACGTAAAATCAACACTCCTCCCAGGAGCAATGGTTTGCAACGCTTTTGTATTCCGCAACCAGCATCACCGGACCACCTTCAGCCCCACACCTCTCCGAAAAACGCCAGGACCAAAAACTACATCGCTGACAGGCCTACAAAGTCGGACAAGGCCCTTCCTGACTTGCTCCCGACAACGCAGACCAAGGACGGTCCTAAGCCAAGGTCTCTCCTCCGCAGAGACTCGGCCGGCCTGAGGTCGCCGCGGTCAGAGAGGGCCCTCCCCCGCCCCCCGCCCCCCCACCGCCGGGCCACGACTCTAGGCCATCTTTTCAAAGCTCACCGCCGAAGAGGGCCGGGGAGCATCGGCGCTCAGCCCCCACACCTAGAGCTCCAGCCTGGAGACACAGTCAGGCTCTCTGCTCCCTAACACCCGCGCCAGCGGAGAGCCCGGCGCCCCCTCGGCGGCCGGAAAGGCCGGCCCCGCCCCCCGGGACAGCATCGAGCCTCTCCCCTCCGCTCAGAGTCCCAGGCGGCCGCTCGCCGCTCGCCGCTCGCCGCTCGCCGCACCGGGGAGGGCGCCGGCGCCCCCTGCCAGGCGGGCAAAGGATACAGTCCCGGCTCCAGAACGCCGCCGCGCCCCGGCGGGAGGGGCCCGCCACGTCCGCCATCTTGAAACAACCGCCACTCCGGGCGTAGCGCCGGGGCCGCCCCGCCCCGGCCTGCAGGCCCAGTCCCCATTGGCCGCACGGCGCAGAGGCCCGCCCCTGCTTGCGCGGCCGGCCCAGGCGCGGCGGGAGGGTCCCTGCGGACGAGTCGCCCTGTCTCGGCGGCTTGGTGTGGAGCGACCGCCGGGACGGGGAGAACGAGGCTGCCGCGGAACTACTCCTCCCAGAGCACCCCGGGCCTCCCATCTCCGCCCCGCCGCGCTCTCAGGGCCGGGGACTACAACTCCCGGCATGCCTTGGACTTGATGTCCGAGCCTCTGGGGCGGCGTAGCGCCGTCCCGCCCGCCCGGCTCTCCCGCCGGGTCCCCGCACCCGCACTCGCCGCGCGCGGAGCGGGGACGCGAGCCATGGAGGAGACGCCGCCCCCGGGCTGCAGCAAGCCGCATCTGGAGAAGCTGACCCTGGGGATCACCCGCATCCTCGGTGAGTGGAGCGGGGGGCCGTGGGAAGCGACTGCGGGTTGAGGGGATGTACGCTAGAAGCCGGGAGCGGCGCCGTGGACCCTGCGCCCCTGTGCGCCAGTGGGCATCGCCGCTGTGACTTCCGTTGTTAAGGGGGAGAGCGGAGCCGGGTGCGTGACTGGGCCCGGGAGCGTTTGCGGGGAGTGCTCGGACGCAGAGCCGGGAAGGCCGGAGGTTGCCCCCCCGCGCCACCACGACCACCACCTCCAGCCCAGGCCCGCCCCCCCCTTTCCCGGGGCTCGGAAAGGTCGAGCTGAGGCGCGCAAAAGGGGGCGACAGCAGGCACCTGGCCGTGGGCACGTTGGGTTTCCCGAGAGGCATTCTTGGCCAGGGGCGTATCCCTGACACGCGAGCCTTCTTCCTCCGGCAGGTAGCAGAGAGCGGGGGAACGCTGCGCGCAGCCTCGCAGCGCAGGTGCGAGGTGACGATTCCCGCGCGCCTCCGGGTGCGCACCCCGGGCGGTCGGAGGGGGTCCAGGCGTGCGCCGCTGAGTGGGTGGTTTTTCCCTTACTGGGCCTTTATCCAGGACCCGCTGCTGTGTTACACTCGGGGGCTGCGAAGATGGCGAGGGGGACCGAAAGGGTTCCGTGAGGAAAATCAACAGCCTCGGTACCCCCAGAGGTGTGAAAGGCGGCCGCTAGTCCTCTGTCTGGGCTTTGAAATAACACACAGGAGGAGGTGACTCACCTTCTCTGCGGAGTCAGGGAGTTTGGGATGAGGCTAGATTTTGAAAGACGAATTGAAGTTAGATAACCAAAGAAGAAAACAGTAGCCTAAGTAGGCTGCGTGGCATGCTTCGATGCCTGCTTATCACGTGTATAACGAAATCTAAATTCTGGGCCGTGACCCACAGTCGTTATGATCTGCCCTCCTCAGTCTCTCTGACTTTATCTTTGACTCTGTTTTTTGGCCACAGTGGCCTCCTTGTACCATGAACTTAGCAAGCTTGTTCCTGCTTCAAGGCCTTTACTAGACCCTTCCCCCTCCCCATCTGCAGTTCTCTTTCCCTCACTTCATTCAATATCAGTATCTCAGAGAAGCATTCCCCGAATGTACTTCTAATAATACCTTTCTCCGTCATCGTCTTCCCTTATCGTTTGCTTATTTATTTATTTATTTATTTATTTATTTAATAATCGTTATGGGTTGATCACTGCTTGGAATTGCTTGTTGTGTTGCTTTCTTAATTCACTTGTCTCTTCTGTAATACAAGTCCATTAATTTAGGAGCCTTGTCTTGTTCTTGCTGGTATTCCCCAGTGTCTACAATAAATGCTGCAGTAAATGAGGACAAAACACCATCATATGTTTGAGAGAAATAATAAGGTTTAGAAATGAAGTTATAGAGTTGGGCAAGAAAAGATCTAATCATCAAGACCAACCATATCCTGTCCCCCCATTAAAAAAGATACTGTCTTTTAATTAATGTTTAATCTACTCAAGACTGGCCAAATTCCCCTTAAGCTGTCAGTTCAATTTAAAGACCTAAATAATTAAATAACTAAACATTTTACATTTCATTTATACATTTAGCATTTTTATGTTATTGACCATTCCAGATGTCTGGCATTAAACAACTCCGGTAATTAAATTTATAGCGAAGCTGGTTTCCTCGTGAACCTTCTAATACTTTATATCGATTTAATCAAAACTTCATAATTTCAAGCTAATAATCATAAGTCAAAAATCCATTATATTTTTATTTTTTTCACATTTGGTTTTTGTTTTGAAAATATATTAAGAGAATTTTTAAGAACAAGGTGGCTGAAGTCCGTGGTGGATGTGTAGTAGGCAAACTACCACACCAAAATCTCATTTCTCTAAATGATGTGTGAAATAACTCCATAACTATGACAATTCTATCCAAAACCAAGCCCAACACTACTTAAAGACAGAGAATGCCAGAAGTGCAAAATAACTATGAGTAAAAAGAGAAAAAAGACAACTCCCAGCACTGTCCCAGCCCCACTCCTTCACTGCTAGAAGGCTCTGTGCCAAAAGCAGACTCAGAAATGATGCCAGCGAAGAGACTAGTTGAAGCAACAGAAAGTTTAAAACCACCAATCTGAAAGTATAACAGTAATAACAACTGGGTAAATCTGAGCAGAGGGGCAGGAAAGGGACTTTAAAGTAGGTGCTATTTAAAGGATCAGCCATGCAATTGAAAGGGACAGTATTCCAAATGTATATATTCCAGAGGAGAAAATGTGCAAAAAAGAAGGAAGAGTCTTGGCAATTGATAATAAAAGCTCAAAGAAAAAAGGAAAGCTCGCATCTCTCTCCCATACCTGAAAAACTTGCTAAAATATCTGTACTTTGCTTCAACTGACTGGAAAGGGTGTCAAGTACCAGAACCTATAGAGAACTAAGACTAAAATCAGGATATGAAATGCTAAACAAACGAGGAAAAATTTTTTATGATGATGAAGTGTTTCCTACTCAATGGAAATGAGTAAGGAAATGTTAATTTTTGGTAACGGATGATTAAATATATTCTGATCTACCTGAGATACGACAAGATCAATTTCAGCTGACCTTTGAACACAGGTTTGAACTGTGTGGGTTCATTTATCCATAGATTTTGTACAGTACAAGAGTATACATATATTTACCCTTCTGATTTTCTTAACATTATCTTCTTTCTTGTTTTAAGAATGCAGTATATAATACATATACAAAATACGTGTTAATCAACTGTTTATGTTATCATTAAGGTTTCTCATAGTAGGCTATTAGTAATGTTTTTGGAGAGTCCAAAGTTATACATGGATTTTCATCTTCATGAGGATTCATAATCCCTAACCTTATTCAAGGTTCAACTGTATATCTGTCCTCTCCATCCTAGACTTATTTTTTTCTGTGATTTTTTAAAATCATTTTGTTTTTTCATCATGATAAGAGTATTTAATTCACATCCCCTATTTCCTCCATTCCCTGACCCACCTCCCTTCTGGTAACCATCAGTTCTCTATAGTTGAGTTTGTTTCTTGGTTTGTCCTTTTTTTTTTTTTTCTCCACTCATTTGTTTTGTTTCTTAAATTCCACATATGAATGAGATCATATGGTATTTATCTTTCTCTGACTGATTTCACTTAGCATGATACTCTCTAGCTCTATCCATGTTGTTGAAAATGGCAGGATTTCATTTTTAATGATTACATAATAATCCATTGTATATGTATACCACATCTTTATGCATTCATCAATTGGTGTACACTTGGGCTGCTTCCATAGTTTGGCTATGTAGTAAATACTGCTGCAGTAAACACAGGAGTGCCTATATCCCTTTGAATTACTGTTTTTGTATTCCTTGGGTAAATATCCAATAGTGTGATTCCTTGATTGTGGAGTAGTTCTATTTTTAACTTGTTGAGGAGCCTCCACGCTGTTTTCTACAGTGTCTACACCAGTTTTCATTCCCACCAACAGTGCAGGAAGGTTCCTTTTCTTCGTATCCTCACCAACACTTGCCGTTTCTTGTGTTTATTTTAGCCATTGGGGTAGGTGTGAGGTGATACCTCATTGTAATTTTGATTTGCATTTCCCTGATGATAAGTGATGATTAGCATCTTTTCATGTGTCTGTTAGCCATCCCTATGTCTTTGTTGGAGAAATGTCTCTTTATGTCTTCTGCTCATTTTATAATTTGATTATTTGGGTTTTTTGGGTGTTGAGTTTGGTAAGGTCTTTCTATATTCGGGATGCTAACCCCTTATCAGATACATCATTTGCAAATATTTTCTCCGATTTTTTAGGTTGCCTTTTAGTTTTGTTGATTCTTTTGCTGTGCAGAAAATTTAATTTTGATGTCTTCCCAATAGTTTACTTTTGCTTTTATTTCCCTTGCCTCAGGAGACATATCTATAAAATTGTTGCTAGGACCTATGTCAGAGAGGTTACTGCCTGTACTCTCCTCAAGGATTTTTATAGCTTCAGGTCTCACATTTAGGTCTTTAATCCATTTTGAGTTTGTTCTTGTGTATGGTGAAAGAAAGTGGTCCAGTTTCGTCCTTGGCATGTGGCTGTCCAGTTTTCCCAACATCATTTGTTGAAGAGACTTTTTTTCCCATTGTATTAATTGACCATATAGTTGTGGGTTTGTTTCTGGGTTTTCTATTCTGTTTCAACTGTTTTTCCTGAAAAACAATTATGAAGCAGAAGAAAACTAAAACTAAACTCCAGACAGAATTAAATTACATAGGGTGCCTGAGTAGCTCAGTGGTTAAGTGTCTGTCTTCAGCTCAGGTCATGATCCCGGGGTCCTGGGATCAAGTCTCCCATCAGGCTCCCCATAGGGAGCCTGCTTCTCCCTCTGCCTATATCTCTGTGTCTCTCATCAATAAATAAAACGCTTAAAAATAAAAAGGAAAAGGAGAATTAAATTACATAAACATGGATTCAATATGAAACACTGTGCTTTTCAGTGTATCATTAAGAAAGTTAAAAGAAAACCTATAGGAGAGACTGTTTGCAAATCCCATATATGAGAAGGGACTTATAGATGGAAACTATTAAGAACTCTTACAACTCAACAATGAAAGTCAAATAATCCAACTTTAAAGGATTTCAATGGAAATTTGTCCAGAGGAGATATACAAATGAGCAATAAGCACATAAAAAGATCATCATTATTATTTTTGGGGGAAATTGAAATCAAAACCACAGTCACATACTACTTAACATCCATTTGGGTGGCCATAATCAAAAAGACTGACATAAGTGTTTACAAGGTTATGGAAAAATTGGAATCCGCATGCCCTGCTGGTGGAAATGTAAAATGGCACTACTGCTTTGGAAAAGTTTGGCACTTCTTCAAAAATTTAAACATACTGTTACCATATGTCCTAGCAATTCCACTTCTAGATGTGAACTCAAGAAAAATCTTATTTACACTCAAAACTTGCACAGTAATATGCTCAGCTACATTATTTATAATAGTCAAAAGAGGAAACAATTTAAATGT